TTCCGGGGCTATGAAAATCCATAATTAGTAAATAATAAATAAATTATATATATATATATATATATATATATAATTAAAAGAACATATAAAAATGCTCTAGTCTAGCTAAAGATAAATCCCCTATAAACGATATAACCTTGTTTTCAATTTATTTTTTTATCTTCAAATATTTATACAAAAAATTCTAAAAAATTCTGTAGAATCCTTTGAAAATAAAAGTTAATTATAATAAGGTAATAATTTTGTAATTAAATGTGAAAAAAATGAAAGTAAGTAAATAGAGCTCTGCAAATGTGTATTTTAATTTATAACATAAAAATAGATTGTTCTGTAATTTTAAAATATAACATAAATTCAAAGATAGTTATTTATTAGTTATTTATTACAAATTTTAATTACAATATAACTTATATATTAAACAACAATTATTCATTTTAAATTTAACTATATAGAAATAGGCATTTATCTCATATAATAGATTTAACTTAAACTTGAGATGGAAAGAAGAATTAGTGGAGTTTTATATTTGGTGTTGATAAATGGTGAACAAAAAGTGGGAATAATTCTAAAGCATGACAGACGAAAGGCCGAAAGGGTTTCATTTTGTACTGGAAAATGCCACATGCAGATACAGTAGCAAAGAGGCATGTGCTTAGCGAAGATATTCGTGCCAAATTAAAATAATCTATGTTCTATCACCAAACCCACATCATGTTTCGTTGTAGCCGTCGTTATCATAGTCATCATCATTAACAATATCATTAGTTTCACTAATATTTAAGAACTTCTTCGGAACTTTTGAACAAGACACACAGGTTTTATATACATATTGCTTATGACAAACACCCCTGCCAAAAAAGAAGAATATACACGTGCTGAGCAATGAAATTAGAGTGATTTTCAAGAGCACGCTTTGGGTTGAATCAAGGAGACAGGACCACTGACTGAGTTCACTACTCTTAAGAGAATGTCTCTCGCATTGGTTATAGCTAACAAAAACATTATTAAAAAAACCCTTGAAGATCTCCAAGAAAAAAAAAAGAAAAAAAAACACTTTAAGTACATTTATTGCATTAAACTATTTTAAACGAACTTAAAGTGGCAATCACTTTCTAGCCCTTGATCTTAATCATGGGTGTTATTATTGCTAGACCTTTCTGCAAGCTAAAAGGTTGTGTAGTTCACTTCCATTACTTTCACTACTTTTACTATAACCATCTTTGTTCGTAAAAGTAAAATGTAAAAAAAACATCACTGTAACCAAAAGTTATTCACTCACTCATGCACGCCCATGTTTATCATAGCAACTAGAAATTGTCATCATTAATAAGAATTTTAAACAAGTCTCACTGTCGATATTCTCAAGAAAATTACAAGATTGACTACTAATGAACAAATTTGCAGTTTGGCCTAGGACATGAGCATATGTTAATCATAGTCACTGGATAAATAATTAGAGTTATGGATTCTCAGACCCCTTTTTACACCTTTTCTTCTTCCATGCTAATAATCATTTCAAGTTTTCAACCCTTGGAATGTTGGATGTGACAAGGGAAATTGCACAACGTAAAAGAAAAATGGGGATGGAAAGGAAGCTTGCAGTTGAAACGGAGATAGCCAAGTTGCTTGAGGCTAGGTTCATTCGGGAGGTTCATTATACCACTTGGTTAGCCAATATAGTGATGGTGAAAAAACCGAATGGAAAATGGAGAATGTGTACTGATTATACTAACCTCAATAAAGCATGTCCGAAAGATGCATACCCACTCCCGAA